TTTTTTTGTCTTTTCTTTTTATTTATTTATATATTTGATATAGCTGCCATTGTTCAAGTCTTTTTGCCATTTTTTTTTTTCAGAGTAAATTCTAAAATGAGTTTAAGGTTATGTTTGACAGACAAATAAGCTAATTTATAGCTTATGTGATTAGTTTATAAGCTCTTGTATTCAAATAAGTCTTGTTTGGTAGGATGAGCTTTTTTAAAAAGCTCGAGCTTATTTGATAAGCTTATTTAGGTAGCTTTTCAAATAAGCTAGATGAATTTTTTATTTCAGCTAGCTTATCAGCTAATTTTACCAAACACTTTTATTATATGAGCTAGCTTTTCAGTTATAAGTAATAAAGTAGCTTATTAGCTAGTTTTACCAAACATAGCCTAAGTGTTTTTTTTTTTTAAATACAACGAGCGAACCTAGTAAGACCAGAGATTAAAATTTGAGTTTTCTTGAGCTAAATACTTAGAATATATTTTGCTCAAATATTTTGTAGCTTGTAGGGAGTGAGGCTCCGACAACTTCAATCCATTCAGCTAGCCTTTTAGCATATCAGGTGGGGACCATGTACTGGGTGCTACATTTTCTATAATCGCATTATCCTGGTTGAGGTATGTATGTAAGAGTTAGTTTGCCTGAATAAAGGCAATAACCTAGTGTGTAGGTCCTTTCTAGCTAAGTGATCCGAACGCTAGTTAAGATTAGATAAGAACTCCAGTGAAGCTTGAGTTGCGAATTAAGAACCTTAGTAGATATTTGAGTTAAATGGTAATTCTAGAATGTTTCTTCCCAAGGGGGCATTGACCTACAGATATGTTTCACTATAACAAAGTGTTTTGAACTCCAACTAATATCAAGGACTCTAGCACAACTTTGAGTTAAGCTCTAACTTTAGAAGTGCATAAGAGTTAGTTTTTCTTTAGTATGAGCAATGACCTACAGATTAGGTCCTTCAGCTGTTATCGTGAGCGTGAAGGCCCAATGTCCTTCTCGTAAGTTAAACAACAGTTATAGGCTGTCAGTTAAGCAGCAAGTTATATACAGTCAGTTGAGCAGCAATTATAGACAGTAAGTTGAGCAACAGTATTAGACAATTTACTAATTACTTATACGCGAGTGTTTAGTTGAAGTGTGGCAAGACTTAGTTTTCATTGTAAGTTAAAGGGCGCTACATAGTATTTCTTTATAGTTCTTTTATTAGAGTGTGATATAGGATATTATACTGGACCCGGTTTAATGGATAAAGCGGATACATATAGGAAGATAAGCCCACTAAGACGTCCAAGCCCAACATTATGGGCCAAGCTCATATTGAGCCTACAAAGGTACACTCCCCCTATAAAAGGGGGGCCAAGGTACCTCATTCATACATTATCCTCTCTTCATTACATTACTACACTTTATCTCTCTCT